ATGATCGACGGGATCATCATTCGCTAATTGTAATTGGCGCAGTACTAATGCGTCATAACTAGACTATCACTAACAATATAAAAAACCATTCAAAATTAATAATTGGTAGTTATTTGATATTATCTAGGCAAAATAATACAATTCGTCACCTTTTGAAATGCTGAAAGTTGGTCAAAATATAGTCTAATTTTGTTGATCATTGCCAAAAAATCAGCATTTTGAATAATAGAAATCAGCTAACAATTAGCATTTATGTTAAAAATTCAGCATAATTTAGCTTAAAATCAGTTAACAATCAGTAAAAATCAATTAAGCAACTATTTATAAAATTAAAACTAATAAAACTCATTTTTTATTTATTTATGATTTATAATTTTATTTTATTATTACATAATAAATTATTTAAAAAGAATATATATTATATTATATTTTATTCAAAAAGATACATTTGATTTTTAAAGATAAGAAAAAATAAAGAAAACAGTTAGAAACTCACTAAAAAACTATTTCTGAAAGGCTTACTTTAATGTATTCCTAAAAAAATAAATAAAAAATAAAAAAATTAGTTAAAATCCGTCAAAAAATCATCTTCAATTTACTTATCTTAATAAAAAAAGTGAAGAAAAAATAAAGAAAACAGTTAAAAATCCACTAAAAATCACTTTTGATTTATTTATCTTAATATATTCCTAAAGAAAGTAAAGAAAAAATAAAGAAAATAGTTAGAAAATCATTAAAATATCATATTTAAAAGGCTTATCTTAATGCAGGGTTGGGAATTTTATATATACTAGATAAATTAACATTATAGTTTTGTACTTATACCAATTTTTATATTAATTATTATAATATATTAATTGTATTAATTGTATTAATTATTGTGCTAACACTATACTTCTTAACTCTGCCTTAATGTATTTCTAAAAAAAGTAAAGAAAAAAAAAGAAAACAGTTAAAAATCCACCAAAATATCTTTGATTTACTTATTTTAATATATTCCTAAAGAAAGTAAAGAAAAATAAAGAAAAAAGTTAAAAACTATCTAAAAGTTACTTCTGATTTGCTTACCTTAATTCCCAAAATAAGAATTTCCTAAAAAATAAAAAAAAAAAAGGAAAATGGCACAAAAGTCACTTCTAATTCGTTTACCTTAATTCCAAAATAAGAATTTTCTAAAAAAAACAAAGAAAAGTTAAATTTCTGCCCAAAAATCATCTTACTAGGAAAAAAAAAAAAAAAATTTATTCAGAATATTCTGAAAGTTTATCAGTTTTATATTATAAACTAAACTAAAATTTTAATTAATTCAAAATTTAGATATTATTTTTTACTTATTGTAAATACTCCAAATAGATAGTTTTACATTATCCAATTTGAACAATATAAAAAACCTTTCAAAAAGAATGATAATTTGATCATTTCTTAAGAATGATATAGAAAATCATTCGAAAGAAATGATAGTTTGATTATTTCTTAAGAATAATAATAAAAATCGTTCTTTCAAAATGATTATGTATTATTTTAATAGAATAATATTAAATATTATTCTAAAGTAACAATAAAGTATTGTTCTATTAAAATGATAACAAAAATCTTTTTAAAGAAACAATTATGTATTATTCTAATAGAATGATAAAAAAAATATTGTTCTTTTAAAATGATGATATATTATTCTAAAAGAACAATAAAAAAACATCTTTCAGAATGATAACAAAAATTGTTCTTTTCAGAATGATGTTGGATCATTCTAAAAAAAATGATAAAAAAATATTCTTTCAGAATAATGATGTATCATTCTGAAAGAATAATAAAAAACCATTATTCTTTTTAAAATGATAATGAATCATTCTTTTAGAATGATAATTTAATCATTCTGAAAAAACAATAAAAAAAATCATCATTCCTTAAAAATAATGAAAAAATTATTCTTTTAGAATGATAATTGAATTGTTCCTTTGGGATGATTTCTATTATCTCTTTGGGAAGAATAGTTCGTTTCTTTAAGGATAATTTCTATCTTTTCTTTAGAAATGATTATTCGTTTCTTTAAGGATGATTTCTATTGTCTCTGTAGGGATAAATGTATCATTCCTTTTAAGATAATTTCTATAATCTTTTTAGGAAAATGTTTTTATAATTTTCGCAAAAATCAATTCAACAGATTTTGACCAGTGAGATACAGTTGATTTGTTGTCAAATCTTGAATCTAACTGAAATTTGCTGAATATTATAACTGAAAGTTCTTAATGTCAAAATAATGTTAAATTATATGTGATGTAACAAATTACTGTCAATCTTTGTAACTTAAGCTGAATTTTTACCAAATCACATGACTGAATCAACTGAATATTTATCAAAAGATCTTAATGACAAAATAATGCTAAATTATGTACAATATAACAAATTATCAATTTTTGTAACAAGTCAAATTTTTGCCAAATCCCACATGACCAAATTGGCTGAATGTTTACTGAAAAGTATTAGTGCTGAAAGAAATGATTTCGACTAGTGATAGTCTATGAATTATGAAATTAGCTGTAAATCAAAAAAAATTTTCATTTAATGTATTAATAAATTATGCTTTATTATCATAAATCATTTTTGAATTTTCATTATAGCAAACCAAAATCATTGGTTCTGGACTGACTTATCAGATTGATTTATTAACTAAATTTTTGAACCGAGGTCCAGTAAGTTTACGATTCAAAAACTGGTTTTTTAGGACTGTGGCCAACCCTATATCATCTGTCACATTTATTTTTTTTATTTTAAATTTTTATTTAAACTTTAAATGCTAATAATTTCATAATAAAAAAAATATTTAAATTTGTACTGCACATATAAATAATTTGATTTTTCTTTCAGACCGATTTCAAATCGAAATTCGACTTTAAATTATAATCGGTCTGAACTTTGAAACGTCTTAAAATAAAACTGGTTAACGAAAAAAATTGGGCTTGCATGGTACAATCCGGTTTTAAACCGGTTTCAGTTTTATAACGCACTAGTTTTAATGGGTGTTACAAAAACCTTTATAGGTTGGTTTTTTTATAAACTAACGATTTCAATACATTTATAATTTAATCAATATATGATTTACTATATTTATTATAATCGTAAATTACAATATGACTTTTATAGAAGAAAATCAAAAAAAAATATTCATAGGTTAAATTGACCTTGATTAACGTTAAAAAAAAAATTCTATAAAAAGACAATCACTATTTCTTGATATTAAAAAAAGTTTAAAAGCAACCCTTTCAAAAAATTTCAAATTTAATTATTTAAACTCCCTGATTTACACTTTGTTGCTAATCACGTAATCATTACAATGATCATTTACACACATTTCGTACTACAATAAAATGAAATATAATAAGCAAAAAAATGTGCAGCTATTTTTACGAGTCCTAGATCTTTTGAAAATATACATTCATAAATTTCTAACATTGTCAAGCTTTTCAAAGTATGGATGAGACAATCGCTTATCAAGGAAATAAATTTACAACGCGCGAATTAAAAAATTGTCCAGAATGTGATAAGCCTCGAATCTCTTTTGGTTGGTGCTTTGAGTGTGAAACAAATGCATTGAAGGAGAATTTCATTCATTGTTCAACAGAAAATGAAGAAATTGATCAATTGATTAAATTCACTCAACTAAAGGCCACCCCAATTTGTGATTATTTGGAGTATATCCCTTTCGAAAAATTCGATATGATTAAATATATTGGAAGTGGTGGTTTCGGTAGTGTCTATTCAGCGATTTGGATAGAGGGACCTCGGTGGATTTGGGACGATGAATCACAAGAGTGGTCTCGATCAGGTCCAATGAATGTTGTCTTAAAGAGGCTTGACAACTCGCAAAACATTTCAAGCTCTTATATTGCGAAGGTAATAAAAACTTTATATTACATTAATGTACTTTCGTGAGTCCACTAATTTACCCCCAAGTTCGGTATAAATAAAATATGTTAATTGTCATGTTCCCAGACAAACAAATAAACGTCACCCAAAATATTCTAAGTCCCCCAAATACTTAAGGTCTAAGCTCTAACCCTAACCCTAATTAATATATATTATACCAGCCAATCAGAGGGGGGTAAATTAGTAAACCCCCAAAAAGTGAGATTTTGCCATTATTGGTTGCACAATTTATTTACAGCTTAATGCATCACCTTGCATAAATTTTGGTTCGAAATTATATAAAACCCTTCCTTTACCCACATTTGACTTTTACAACTAAAAATCACTTTCACTTCCGTTTTTTATTTGTCAAAAAACTAGAATTGATTCCACACTTTAATCAAAATTATATTTTTTTAAATTTAATAAAATAAATAAGTATCAATTGGGATCTCTACGAATTTGTTCACAAAGCATATTAAGATAAATAGTGAAAAAAAAATTCGAATTACTCGAGCAATTGAAGGAATCAAGATGATCCCTAAATTAAAAATGGTTTTTATTTCGGCCTAAAAAAAGAATGATTTATTTATTTTAATTTAATGCATAGTTACGCCTCAACACTCGTGATTTTGACTTTCAAAACTTTAAGATTCATTCTATAATTGGTACTGGTGCATTTGCATCAGTTTATGCTGCATGCATGAAAGATACACAAACAAAATTTGCGGTTAAAAAATTCGCCGATGATTATACCGAAGAAATCATCTTAAACGAGGTTTGATTTTACTTTTGTTTGGATCAAATTTTGATATCGATAATGTTATTTAGATTAATTATTTTTCTAGATTCGTTTAATGAAAATAGTTGATTATCATCCAAATATAATTAGATTTTGTGGAGTCACGAAATTTGAAGGTAAAATAAATTATGTATTGAATTTATTTTAAGCATTTAATTTTATATTTTCACCAAATTCTTTAGAAGAAAAAAATTATTCGCTTATTCTTGAATATGCAAATGGTGGAACCTTAGGAAAGTATTTACGAGACAACGCTAAAACTTTCAAGTGTAAATGGAAAAGCCAATTGAAATTTGCACACGATATTGCAAGTGCAGTATCATGCTTACATGATAATAAAATTATACATCGAGACCTTGTATGTTTAATTAATTATATTATTTGAATTATATTATTACTTAATTTTATAATTATATATTTAACTCCTTTTTTATTTATTTTAGCATCCCGATAATATCTTAATTCATCAAGGGATAATCAAATTAGCAGATTTTGGGTGTTCACACTTGCAAGGATCAGATTTCTATATCAAAGGATCACGTGGTGTAATCCCTTATATGGATCCTAAATTTTTTGAAAATCATTCATATGATTTAACCGAAAAATCTGATATATATAGCTTGGGAGTATTGTACTGGGAATTAACAAGTTGTTCATCACCTTTCAATTTTGAAACAACAGGCGATAATTCTATTCAGGTTGAAATTCTTAAAGGTGTAAGAGAAAAGCTTATCTCAACCACAAATGGTAAATTTGTTAATCTTTATCAAAGTAAGTATAAATTTTTAATTTTTTTAGATTTTTGTTTCCTTTATTACAATCTAACTTAATTATTTAATAGAATGTTGGCAACATGAACCAGATGAAAGACCAGATATTTATCAAGTAATTTCTGAGCTTAATAGTATAACTGATTCTAACTCTGAAGAAAGTGTAATAACTAAAGAAACAGACAATGATGAGAATGAAGATCACTTCTTCGATTGTGATATAACAAAGTACTGTCATAAATTCAATGTATAGAATTAATTCATTCTTTTATATTGTTTATATAGAGTATTGTTTCAACATTTAATAAAAACAAAATATATATTATTTATGTATCTAACGAAATCTTATTAAACTTTCTCTATCATGAAATTTGTTTGGCGCTATCAATAATTATACATAGATTTGTAATAATAAATTTATAAACTTAATATTACTTACACATCTTCTGCACTATAGATTTTTATATTTAAGTAAATACTAACATATAAACAAAAGCTGGGTTGATCTAGTATTTAATTAAAGAATGCTATTCTAAACAATTATTAGAAGAGCTTAATATGATAATTTTTAATTTTAATTTTGCTATTCTATTATAACAAGTGTAAAAACTTATATGAAATTAAATTTAGCTATTAATTAAACTAATTTATTAAGTCTAAATTAGCAATACTAATAATATTACTATAAATCATATATAAAAAATTCAGAAGTAATTTAGAAGTTATTAAGAGACATAGTTGGTAAAATACTAGAAAATATAAATGGTAGTTATAATTTTTAATATAAATATTTAATTTTTAAAGTAAAATAAAATAAAACTATGATTAAAATACATTTATTAGCTAAAGTTACTTTGAAAATATAAAAAGAAAGAAATAGAAACAATTAAGAACAAAAAAGCAACTTAATAAAAATCAAAAAAAAATTTAAATTTAATAGAAACAGAATCAAAGAATAGCATAAATAAAGTCTAAAATATTAATGTAAAAAATTAGATAACAAAAAATAATATAAAAAATAATAAATATTATTAGAGATATATAATAAAAATCTAATAATATTGATATATAGCAGAGAATAAATAACAATAGTAATATACAATAAAATAAAAAAAATAAGGTAATATAAAATAAAGTCAGATAATATTAATAATATAGAATATAGAACTAAAGATTCAACTTAAAAATATATGTAAATATAAATTATATTATATCAATAACTTATTATATGTAAATTAAAGTTTATTTAACATTGAAATATATAATATAATTATATTTAAATCATTTTATTTAGTTATAAGAATGCTATTAGCTTAAATTTATTAATTAATATATTTTTATGATTTTAAATTTTTATAATTTTTATGTAATTTTAAACTAATTATTTATTTTTATTATTAATAGCTAAAATGTTAAAATGTGATCTAAATATATAGATTTTACATATAAATATACTGATACTTTTAAAAAAAATAATTTATTATTATTATACAATAAGTTTTAATATTATAATTACAATAAAATCTTAATATAACTAATATAATAACCTCTAAAATCAGAATCTCATCTTCGTTATAAGATTATAATGAAATTTTTAAAGAATTTATTTAGCTAGTTTATATAATAAGTTATATTTAATATATTTAATTTAAAAATTTGCTATATAAAAAGTTTGCTATATTAAGATTTGACTGTATAATAAAATAATATCAACTGATCTCTTTCATTTTTTTAATTAATAATAAAATAATTAGAATTATTATATTAAAAGTTTTAACAATTCAAATTAAAAAATTTTAAACTTTAATTAACTTAATATCAATTATTAAGGTTGCTTGGCTAAATTATTTTAGAAAATGCGAAACGGTAAAATTTTAATTAATGCAATTTAAACTATTGCAA